AGTTATCTATCCATAGATGATCAGAAACCATAGTTTTTTAATTCAAATTATCATATTAATAACCCTGATAGTCTTTGCTTCCCTCTGAAACTATACAAGTGCAGCCTCCTTTATCTATATTTTTCCAACATTTTTATCTTCCAAACTCCCACAAAACAGTTTATTAGGCTTTGAGCATTCAATGGCTTCTTCAATCCAAAGTTCCAAACACTTCCATAAGCTCCCCGAAACAAAATGCTCAAGTCTGTTAACAGTAATTCCCATTCCTGGTATCAATTTTTGTCCTAGTCTTTTTATTGCTATGATAAACACCATGACCTAAAGCACCCTGGGGAGGAAATGTATATGTATATATATATATATATATATATATACATATATATATATGTATATATATATGTATATATATATGTATATATATATATATTTAAACTTAATTAGCACACAATGTACCTCTTTATATGAAAACCTATGCGTCCATTCTCTCACATATACATACATAAATACAGAATACTGGTTATCTTCTTATGATGATAAGCATTTGTTCAATTAATATAAAATTTACTCCTACTTTTGTTTCTTAACATATACAATAACTTTTTGTTTCAATATGCAATTATAATAGTCATTTTTATTTTTTTTTAATTATTTTAAATTATGTGCCCATCTCTGTGTGGGTATGTGTGTGCAGGTGCCTGCAGAGGCCACAGAGTTTACAACCTCTGAAGTTGGAATTAGAGGTGTTTGTGAATCACCTAGTAAAAGTACTGGGAACCAAACTTTTGTCCTCTAAGAGCAGCAAGTGCTCTTCCCTGCTGAGCCATCTCTCCAGCCCCACCAAAAATATTTTAAGTAACAAAGCCAACACAACAGTGGATGTACTCAACTGAACTGACAAGACTGACATCCAAAGCTCACGTCTGCTCAGACACAAGTTTATCACAACTTATTGCTAAGTTAACAGAGACTGTAAGATGCTTCTCAGTTTTAAGATGCTAAAATGTGAAAAACTTCATCTTAGAATTGATTAAATTCTAAGATAGTGGTTGTTTAACATACTGCAACAAGAATGCCACAGCCTAAATACTGCTGCTATTATAATCCCAAGACTCAAATTCAACTGCTGATCTATGGCATCTCCAGATGCAGACCAACCATGTACCTGTAAACTGCTTCTATAAATGTGTAAAAGAATCGAAGATTCTGAAAACACTGCACACTTTACAGAGCTTGGTAGACTCGTGAGCTACATCCCTATGGCATATTCGCTTTAGTATTTCATGTCCAAGAAGCACCTGCATTTGTAATAAGAGGAAAAGCAGCAAAAGAGAAAGGCAGCCTCTTTTTTTTCTTTTGGAGTGTGTTTCTTCATGGGATGCTCCCTGAAAGAAAACTAACATGTCGCTAAAAATTAGAAAATGGGCACTGGATGTTTGTATATTGGAATACTGAAAAAGGGAAGCTAAATCAAAATTTAAAAATACCTAAGGAAAAACTGATGAGAAATAAAAAGAACGGGAAACCTATCATGACTCTAATGTCCGAACTTTCCTGCATGGCTGTAATGAGACCACAAAACCAGCCTCCTTTCATCTAAGCAGTTCACATGGACTCTATATCCCAATCTACAGTAGTATGTTTATGCATAAAGTGATTTACAGGTACTTTTAAATTAAATTGTTTGTACTCTGAAACCTTTAAGGAAATTGGGTTCTTTGGGAAGATGAAGCACATTAATCTTGCAGTTTTTCATATATTCTAATTATACCATGTTTTTATCCTATTCTTGCCAAGGATATAAAACCTGCAGTTGGAAAGACATTTAAATAAAAAAGAAAATGAAAAATATTTTGAAAAAATACTGAACGGCATAGAAAAATGGTCACTACATACCATTAATTGTAAAGAGGTACAAAATCTATATGGCTGGTTTCTGGTTCTAAGTAAAATTGGAGAAGATGAACTGGGGTACTTTTTTCATTACAGCATTGGGGGGGTGTCATGTGTACGTGGTGCGTGTGTCAATGGATGTGTGTGCGTGTGTGTGTGTGTAGGCCAGAGATAGACATCAGATGTACTCTCTGAGCACTCTCCAAGCAGGCCCTCTATTCAACCCAAAGCTTGATGATCCTGCTACTTGTCAGCTCACTCGAAATTTGCCTGTCTCTGCTCTCCCAAGGGCTGTAATTAATTACAAGTGGGCTTCCATGTGCACTGGGCACTTACATGGGTCTTAGGGATTCAAACTCCAGTTCTTTTGCTTGTGTGGCAACTGCTTACTCCACTGAGTCATCTCTCCAACCCTGCAGCAACTTTTTAAAACTTGTGTTAGTAGACAACACTGTAGTTATAAATACGTGTGGGAGCCACGGAAGCAAAAGGAAGCAGGGGGCTACTGAGAGAAATCAATTGTGTGACTCTATGCCAGGGTTTTGACAGAACTTAGTCCAAGTGAAATAGACACTGGATGAAAACAAGGTCAGAAAGACTTCTGGACACAAAGTAGCTCTTCTCCCACATGGCTCATGTCCTGAACCCCGAGGGTTTGAGAGAAAATAGAATGTGTAAAAAGTGCACAAAAATCTTCTGGTCTTTAAAACATTTCCTGCTTGAAGAAATGGGTGGGGGGAGGTGTTAAAAAACAAATTGTAGAGCCAATGGTCATGGTGACTCATTCGTGTAATCCCAGCCTTCAGGAGGCTGAGGCAGTGAGATCATTGTGAGTTTGAGATTAGGCTGGGCTACACAATGAGTTTCAGGCTAGACTTGAACATAGAAGAAGATCCAGTTACAATCAAATAAAAAATGCAAAACCAAAACCAAAAAAAAAAAAACAAACCAATTTCACAGTTCTTATATTTCAAGACACAACAAGAATATTACTCTAAAGTACATGAAAATAAACTGAGTTTTGTAATTTCCACTGCAAAAGAGTGATTTTTATAATGTCTAAGGAATAAATAACCAATAGAGAAGGCAAAATGCAATAATTTAAAAATATTTGATGAGTACTACACATGTTAATAAAGAAATAGAGAAACAAAAGCAGGTGAGACAAATAGAAAACAAGTAGCAAAAAATAATACAACTATGACAGCACTTATATTAAATACAAATGAGTGGAACACCAGGAGGAAAGACAAAGGTTGTCTCCAACCAAGGACCATGCATGGAGATAATCTAGAATCCCTGCACAGATGTAGCCCATGGCAACTCAGTGTCCAAGTGGGTGCCCTCCTAAGGGGAACAGGGACTGTCTCTGACATGAACTCAGTGGCTGGCTCTTTGATCACCCCCTCCCCCCGAAGGGAGAGCAGCCTTACCAGGCCACAGAGGAAGACAATCCAGCCAGTCCTGATGAGACCTCATAGGCTAGGGTCAGAGGGAAAGGGAGGAGGACCTCCCGGAGAGGCATGGGAGGAGAAGAGGAAGGGAGAATGGGATTGGGAGGGTACAAAGGAGGGGGCTACAGCTGGGATACAAAGTGAATAAACTATAATAATAATAAAAAAAAAACAACAAAAGTCATACTGGACAAAGAACATACGTTAAATATGAAAACACAGCACATTCTTCACATCTGTATGTTGAAACACTTAGCCCCATTTTGACAATAGCTGAAAGGCCTTTAGAAGGTAATTATGGCTAGATAAGGTCAGGGCCCTTGAAACCGAAAATAAAAACTCCCAGCCCTGTACTGGAAAGCAGGTGGAAAAAGAAAGGAGGAGGAAGGGAGGCAGGGAAGAAGAGATGAAGAGAGAGATAGAGGTAGACGGATGGATGGATGAATGGATGGGGAGGGGAGATCAAGAAGTCCAGGGCTGTTTCAGGAAGTGGAATGTGTGATGGTAATATCAGAAGGAGAAGTGGAGAGCGGAGCAGATCAGGAGTATCCAGACAAGCGAGCTGTTAATCTCCATAATGACAGTGAGGGAAACCTGGAGTCTGAAAATAGATTTCCACATTGTGGGCAGCTGTTTTGAAAAGGCACTACAGGAGTTTAATGGAAGACGATCTAGGCTTTTTAACAAAAGATTAAACAACTAGATATCTACATATAAAAAATGAAGTTGGACTATTATTTCATACTCCATGCAAACCATTCAAAAGGACTCAAAGATCTGTATGTAAGAGATAACACTATAAAAATCGTAAAAAAAAAAACCAAAAACCTTAATTATCATGATCTTTGGTTAGACAATGGTTTCTTGAAAATGATACTAAAAACACGAAAAAATGAAAAATAACCAAGATTTCATCAAACTTTAAAAAAATTTAAAATGAAAATATTATGTTTCAAAGGACACTATCAATAAAAGAAAAGAAAAAAATTAATTGAATAGAAAAAATATTTGCAAATCATGTATCTGAAGAGACTTGTATCCAGAACATAGAAACAACCCTTCCAGCTCTGTTGGTATAATGTTCTTGTGAAATGTATACAGTTTACCCTTGTTCATCCAAATACTTATTTCTCTACCCCACTATCTGGTTTCAATCCGGACACTGCACTGTGATGTTTATTCTAAGCATCACCTGTCTCAAATTTGTGTAAACATGCCACCATTTGTTCTCTGTATTTTCAATTAAACAATCAGCCAATGCTGTGCAATGGAGAGAATAGGGTGGGACATCCTGGTCCTGAGGGTAGGAGAAGAAAGCCAGTGGTCGGCAGAGGGCGGCAGGAGAGGACTTGAAACCATGAAGAGAGATGAATTGAACCTAAGATATGACTAAAAGCAAGTTGAAAATTCTAAATGGGAGGAAGCTACGCAGGCTTGGAGGTTTAGGATTGAGTAATCATTGCCCAGCATTGTGCTCTAGGTTAACTAAATATATCCTAGTCTCTGTGTGGTGATTTGCATATACAGCTGGTTTAGGAATAACTGCTGATTAACTAAAGATAATTCAATAATAAATATTAATAATCAACAACACAACTCCATGACAGAGAACCTTATTTTCAAAGTGGACACAGGGCCAGACATGGTGGTACACACCTTTAATCCCAGAACTCAGAGGTAGGTAGGTAGGTCTCTGTGAGTTCAGGGCCAGCCTGGTCTCTACAGTGATTTCCAGGCCAGTCGATGAGATCCTGTCTTAAACAAACAAACATTACAATACAATACACACAATATCTGAGTAGAAAATTTCCTCACAAGTATACTTAAGTGGTCAGTGAGTACATGAACAGAACAGAAACTGGAATCATTATAATACCTTTGAATATCAGAACCCCAACGAAACACCACTTCATACATGAGAAAAACATTAGAATGGACAGAATAAAAAGACAGACGGTAACAAGTGTCAGCAAGGATGTAGAGGACTATGTTCCCCATACCCTGCTGGTATGCATGTAAAATGGTACCACTCTTAGAAAACAAGGAGCCCCTCAGAGAGTCATACACACAGTCATCCTATGACAGCCATTCTCCTAGGAACATGTACTGAGCAGGAATACGAGTATATGTCCACATTCAACAGTTGTCCCAGTCGCTTTATTCATAATAAACAGAAGCTGAAGGCGAAACAAGAAACCCTCACTGTCCAACAGCAGGGAAGGGGACAAACTGCAGTATATGCACACAATGCAATGTTACCCAGCAATAAAAATAAATCAATAGTATGGAACAACAGGGATGACTCCCATAAACAATATGTTGAGTGTACTAAGCCAGATCCAAATGGCTATACTATCTATCTATTGTATACTGTACACCAAATACTATTACAGAGACCCGAATTTCACCAAGAGCTAGAAGTGATCAGGGCGACAGAGTCAGAGTAATAGTCATTTCCGTGTGGATTTTAACAGAAGCAGCTTAAGAGAACAAATCTTCTAGTTCAGGAAAGGCTGTCGTATAAGTGGGAGTTATGAGGGAAGGTGCACGCGTGTGTGCATGTGCGTGTGCGTATGTGTGTGTGCATGTGGCTGTGCATGTACAATGAGCTGTAGCCTTAGGATTGATGTACAATGTACCTCACTGAACTTGTTTTGTACTTCAATTTATAATTTATAAATTATAAAGTCCTGGCCAGACATAGTGGCACAGGCCTTTAATCCATTGAAAGGGAGAGGCAGGAGGACCTCTGTAAGTTCAAAGCCAGCCTAGTCTACATAGTGAGCCAGAGCTACATTGAGAGACTCTGACTCAAAAAAGCAAGGACCAAAACAAAATGTTATGAATCCTTAAACACGTCTATTCCTGTAAGCAAATGTTTCTTTTTGACCTGCCACACCCATCACACAGATGAATACTCATACCGCACAGACTCTGAGAATACCTACCAATAAGTCTTGACATCCAAATATCTTTTAATGTTGTCCTAGTTACTTTCTGTTGTCAACGTGACACACTCTAGAGCTACCTGGGAAGGGGAAACCTTACTGCCTCCATCATACTGGCCTGTGGTCATGTCTGTCAAAGACCGTCTTGACAAGGCAAGAGGTGGAGAGCCCAGCGGACTGTGCTTGGGGCCATCCCTGGGTAGGTGGCCCTCGGCTGTACAAGGAAGCTAGCTGAACGTGAGCTGGTGGGCAGCATTCCTTCATGGTTTCTGCTCCAGCTCCTGATTGAGTTCCATTCCTGATTCCCCTCAGAGATAGACTGGGACTGGAAAAAGCTAAAATAAAGGCTCTCCTCCCTAAGCTGCTGTAGAGTGTTTTATTACAGCAACAGAAGTATAGAGATGGTTTTTATGTTTGTGGAGTAGTTTTAAGAACTGAAAAGTTGACTCAAGAAGAGTGCATAGGAGTGTCTCTGCATACACAGATGTGCTCGCATCTGCGTGCGCACGCCCCACCCCCACAAACATTCACATACAGCATTTACACCATTAGCCTAACACCAAATGTGACAATAACCCAACGTCCAGAGTGGAACCAAAAGTCAAAACCAAGCAGAAGAAATAAAATATCTGTTAGAACACAGATAACAAATGAAATCATAAAGGCTCTTTTCTTAGAAACAAACATCAGTTCAAACCTTACTAGTGCCATAGAATCCAACCATTGCAGTTCAGTAAAGGCATTTATGAGATAGAGTAAAATGACAGGAATATACAGAATAGGCCTGATGGAGCTCTAATTACTTCATTAGAGATGCACAGTAAAAGTTATTCTTCACACAGTTGATAACATGAGCCGGCCTGTGCTGGGTTAGTACCAAAATCTATGGCTAAGCAAATAGTTCTAATAAAATCGATTTTCTTTTTTGGCAACCAATAAGCCAGTCAATAATAATATTGTTTAAGAAAGATTGAGTCATGAGGGAGCGGAACCTTTCTTTCCATCTATTACGTTTGCATCGTCTATTTCAAAAGCGTTTTCCATAACAAAACCAGAAGAGGAACGATGGTGGGAAAGCACCTCTGACACTAAACTGCGGAAGCCCGTTATCAGCTCAAACTGACAGTCAAAGCATTCCCATTCACTGGTGCTAGGAAGATCAGACTGTAATCGGCAAGAACAAAGTCAAAGCAACAAAAAATGGTCACGTGAATGCAGGGGACAGAGAAAACACTGTGTCAGGCTATATGTCATCCTGACCGATTCATTCCAAAAACCCACACGGAGCCTCAGCTGCACTGACAGGTGTGTTCAGCCCACAGCGCTCTAGAGAGCATGTAAGGAAGGGAGCGGGGCTGTTTGCTTTGTACAGAGCTGGCAGCCGCCTCATACAGTGCCTAGTGTGGAAACATTTTCCTTTAAAATACCCTGAGCTCTTTATAATCGTGTGTAGACATGAACACACCCGCACATTCCTGTTGCAGAGTACCTTCAATTAGTGAAGGTAAAGGAAGGGTAAAACAAACTTCAAACACTTAGAAAGAGAGAAGCAAAACTGTAGAAACGTTTCCGAATGAACAGTGAAGAAACCTGTCTTATCCAACGTTCAAACATTTGAAGCTATGCTCTTTAAGAACACAGCCTAAGAACACAGAAAAACAGAGTAACAGTATGGGAGGACAAGCCCAGAAATGGACTGAAATGAAGACCACGGACTATGATAAGGAAGATGCTGTATATCACAAGAAGCGAACACAGTTATTCAGTAAACATTATCAGAACAACTGGCTAGACATCTGGACAAAATAAAATCTCTATTAACATATAGAAGACACAGCATAATTTGAGATGGCGCAAAGAAATCATGAAAGGGAGAAAGTTCCAGAAGAAAGTATTAGGAACAGTTTTACCATGTCATAGGTATGTTAAACTTTGTCTTAAGATTCATAAGATGTTTATATAATCTTTTAAAATTATCAATGTAATAATAAATCTAATAATAAATTAGGCAAAGGACATGAATAAAGAGTTCATAAAAGTGCACAACCTTAATCCCAGAACTTGGGAGGCAGAAGAAGGCAGATTTCTGAGTTCAGGGCCAGACTGATCTACAGAGCAAGTTCCAGGATAATAAAAAATACACAGAGAAACCATGTCTTAAAAAAAAAAAAAAAAAAAAAAAAAAAAAAAAAAAAAAAAAAAAAAAGCCCAGCACTCTTAGTTGTTAGGAAAAGGTAATCAAAGTCATATCACGATGACGTCAGGTTAACATCCATTAGGATGCCTTTTTTAAAAAGAAAGGAAAATAATTGTTGCTAAAGATGGGTGAAGCTGGAAGCTGCAAACACTGGTGGGGGTATAAAATAGTACACTGCCTACAGAAAACAGTTTAGAGATTTCTATGTGTTTTATTTTATTCTGTGTTTTATTACACATTAAATTACCATAAGATTGGGGCTGGAGAAACAGCTCAGCAGGAGGGGCCATTTGTTGCTTTTGCAGAGGACTTGGGCTTGCTTCTCAGTACAGACATACTATAGCTCACAAGTGCCATTAACTCCAGTTCTGGGGGGGGGGG